GTCGTCTACAAAGATGCTACAGCTATTTAACTTTCCGAATCGAGCCGAACTACGCGGGTCGCCATTTTGTTTTGCCCGGAAGTTCTCGCGCTACTCCTCTCTCTCTCTCTCTTTCTCTCTCTCCACTGCCCATAGACAAAATTGCACGCTTTTAGGCTAACACTAACAGTAGTAATAGAACATTTGTTCACAGCACAGAATTCTACAATTCTGTTATCTCAGTGTAGAATTCTGTGGTTCAGGGTGAACGCTTAACTGGTTGGCCTAGGCTATACTATAACGGTGAACGCCCACCGGGTGAGAATAGCCAAAAGACTCGCCTCCGCTATTCTCACCCGGGGTGAGAATAGAGGTGGCCAAAAAAAATATCAAAGTCCCTTCTTTATTGCATAGGTTGGAGTGGTCGCTCGTTACGGTAGTCCTTCCCTATTTTCAAACATCAATAACTCAATAATAATAACTATTGATTTGTGGCAAAAATGAAGGCCCTTCGTGTTCAGTATGCAAAATACTATTAGAAAAAAATAGATTTAGATTTAGATCTAGATTCTAGATCTAGACCTAAAACGCGTAGATCTAGATTCTAGATCTAGATCTACACGAGACTGGTGCATGAGTAAAAAAAATTATAATATTATATAATCTAGATCTCTAGATCAAGATTAGGCTAGGGCAAGATCGACTCTGGGATCTATTCTTTCGAGTCCAAATGAGGACTCAAAGAATCGATCTTGTTCCCAGACTCTAAGCTTCGAGTCCGCCCAGGGTCGACGCCTCCCGTCTCCTTTTTTTTTAGCCTGGTTCCTAGACTAGACTCCGAGAATCGAGGCAAGAATCTAAATCTCTAGCCTACCGCACTATTACAGTCCTGTCGTGGGATAGGCCTAGGGCTGTCCCACCCCACAGTCGAGTTTTTTGCTTCAAAACAGACACCGCACCAGGACGGGAGTGATCCGGCGCATAAGGCGGCTTCTTTGATGTTGGCCTAGGCGGAGTTAAAAATGCATTCCAAAAATTTCTTAAATATAGGCCAAATTTAAGATCTAAATGTACACATGTGTACATTTTGGTTGACGGCAACTTGAGGGGGGGGGGGGGTCCTGGGAAAGATGACAAGAGGGGTGGGGTCATTTGTGAACACGCAGTCCCTAAAAGTAAAACTGCAATCATTCGGCCATAAATAATATGATGTATTACTACAGAGTTACTACATAAAGTTGATTTTGGACCTCATTTGTCACACCCAGATATCCCACCTTTAGTTTTAGGCTAAGGGTTTTAATTTTGGAAAGCACTGGGAATAGGCCAGAATTGTTCCCAGTGTCACTGGGATGAGGCCAAGAAACTATTCCCAGTGACACTGAGAACAGACAGGCCCATTAGATGTCTAGATCTATTGTTCCCACTATGATCTACATGGGCATGATGATGATGGGTTACTAAATACAGACTATACACATGTATTTTTCTTTCTAATGTAGATCTAGATATTTAAGAGTAGATTCTGGTGTGAGTGGAAGAATTTTTTTTTTAAAAAAGGAATGGTCATTCTATGCTTGCTTGTTATTCATCATGTACATTAGATCTAGATCTAATACGGGTTTTGGAGACCACGGTACAGGACAGGTAAAAATCCTTCCCGATTCTCCATTTCTTCTAGAATCTAGGCTACGGTCAAGTCAAGTCTTGGCCCAAGTAAGCGAAGAGAAGAAAAAGTCTGAACTGAATTGAGAAGACAGCCTAGCTACAGTACACGTCAGATTAGAAACGAATCTAGATACCTCCACCATGTTTCCCCCTCTTTTCACTGGTCTGGTAAACTTCACCCGCGCCTCTATCGTCTCTCATAAGTCTCATGGTACCTCTTAGGCCTAGCCTAGGCTGGCAATGTGGGTCCACTATAAAGTAAAGTAAGTAAGTATCCTTATAACTTAAGTGCAGAAGGTGCAGTCCACCAAAAATTAGCGTACTACGACTAATTCAGAAAACCAGGAATCTGCTGGTCCATCCTCCACTTCTGGTCTCCCTCCGCTGCCTCCCCCTCAAAAGAAAAGGAGAAAAAATAAGCCTACGACATGTAATCAATAAAATCAGGAACCTGCTGGTCAATCATCCACTTCTGGTCTCCCTCCACTGCCTCCCCCTAAAAAGAAACAACGGCTGGGATCAAGTAATACTAATATAATATAATAGTGAGAACCCTGCGCCTGTTCCTGTGGTAAACGCCCTCATCCGATGCCTAGATATTCCGGACTTTGATCTCTTCAATGATTCGTATAATAAAATGCAGGTCTGTTTACAACTTTGTCTCGTCCCCCCTTCTCTCTCTCTAATCTCTCTCTCTCGTGGTATTCTCACAGCCCTCACTCACTCCGCCTCGCGTCGCCGGGAATAATTCAAGTTTTATTCAACAAGTCTCACTCACTCCGCCTCGCGTCGCCAGGAACTAGTTCGCGTAGCGGTCGATTAGGACCCATGACTGTACATGTATAGATCTAAGTATAAGTATAAGTCCGTTGTTTGCCTAATGCGCATTAATACATATAAACACGGCGGGTCCACCAAAGTTCAATCAGAGAGTTTACAGTAATACTACAATAAACCCTGTCTGGTTCAATCCACCCCCTATGACCTTTGTCCTTGCGCTATGAGGGGAAAAAATGAGGAAATGGTAGGCCCGATTTCCATCCTTCTTTTGAAACACCCTGTGCGAAAATAACTTCATAGTATTTGCACACCCTGTGCGAATAAAATTTCATAGTATTCGCACACCCTGTGCGAATATAACTTCATAGTATTCGCACACCCTGTGCGAATAAAATTTCATAGTATTCACACACCCTGTGCGAATAACTACCTTTTTGCTTTTAATTAACCCTTAAAACCCTGAATTCTTTTTTTTCATACTTCCCTAGAATCCTGAATCAAAATTGAGATACTAGAAAAAATTAGGTTGGTTCATTATTTTGTTTACTGTGTCTTTAATTGTTGTTAGATTTTACTGAAGTTTGAAAATGTTATTTATATAGTGAGGTGCAAAAAAAAAAGCGAATTTTTTATGTTGTTGTAATCGCCCAATGCTGAGTTCATAGTTGTGTGA